TAATACCACCTCCAGCAAAAGTCTTCCCACAATACAAGCAAATCAATTTCTTTTTATTTCCTTTAGTACCAGCTTCAAGAATCTGTTTACAATGACCCCAGGCTATATCTGTTTTTCCTCTAGCTTGACTTTTTGGTGGAGAAGAATGTGGTGTACTATTATCACCAATGAACTACACAAAGACACAAATTATGTTTAAAGATTGACTTATATGAACTTCATTACAAGGGTTCAACACAATACATTTCAGGTTTAGTTGATTTCAATATTTATCATTGAACATGTAAAGTCTAATTAACAGTAGAAGTTGATAAACTTGATATAGCTGATGAAAACTATTGATCATGACTACTGGCAAGTGTCTCAAAACCATCTTGACATCTTACAAATTAAAATTGAAAAAATTAGGAAGATATGGAATCAAATTGGAACCATCAATTTTAATATTCTCTGTTCTGAGGTTCTTGACTCCTACGGAATGGCAATGCAAATCAGTTTATTGACTTTTAGCAAAATAATTTTCAGTAACACGATGAGTAAAAGACACTTCTGTTTGGATTATTTTTGAAAAAATGAATAAAAATATGCTCACCATAAGTCCAGTATTCAATTGGTTTAACTCCAAAATCTAGAGCAGTAAGAGCATCACAGTCAATTCAAAATAGAGAGAGCATTCGACTCCAAAACATATTTGGCTAAGTGCAAGAAGCATAAATCCATGAACGATAAATGTAAATCACCATTCTTTTTGCAATATGCTGATGTAAACCCCCTTCAGCCAAAATAAAATTCGGGATTTTGCTACATGAATCAGAAACCAAAAATGAGAAAATAGTCATAATACATGTAAATTTTCGACTTACATCATCTTCTTCCATCTAATACAACTTGAAATTCAAACTTTGGATTCTTGGGAGGCTTCGATTTCTATCTGCTGGCTGCTACGGCGTCAACCTCTTCTGGAACGGGAATGAGTTTTGCCTTGTGGGTTTTAGGAATTAGGGCCTTTTATTCAATCAATTGGACCGGCCGGGTTGCACGAATTTCGGGCCACCGGTTTAGTGGAAACCCGCCGAGTTAGCCGGGTTGCTAGCGGGCTGGCTGCATACTTAAAAAATATGTTGGCTCGGACCGGATCAAGGGCCGGTTCGGCGGTTCCCGGTCTGGACCGGCCGGTCCGGTCCGGTTTTTAAAACTATGGTTTGAAGAGTATTTTAGGCAAATC